GGGGCCAAAGCTTCCACCAGCGTATCAAGGGGATCTGTGAAACCTCAGTTTAAGAACTCAGGGTGTGTCCTGGCCGGGTAGGTCAGTTGGTTAGAGCGTTATCCCAATACTCCAAGGTTGTGGGTTCAATCCTGGTCAGGCACATAGAAGGAACATCCAATGAGTGCAGAAATAAGTGGGACAACAAAGCGATGTTTCTTTCCCGTCCCCCCTCTCTCTCTCTCTCTCACTAAATCAATAAAACAAACAAAAAAATCATGCGCCCTAGCTTGTTTGGCTCAGTGGATAGTGTGTTGGCCTGTGGACTGAAGGGTCCTGGGTTCAATTCTGGTCAAGGGCACATGCCCGGGCTGTGGGCTTGATCCCCAGTAGGGGTGTGCAGGAGGCAGCCGATCAATGATTCTCTCTCATCATTGATGTTTCTATCTCTCTCTCCCTCTCCCTTCCTCTCTGAAATCAATAAAACATATTAGAAAAAAACAAAAACAAAACAATGAAACACACATGTGAAAACCCTAATGAGGTAGAGAAGAGCAGATGGCCAACAACAGAAGCTGGGGCCCTGCTGCTACCTGCCTGGCTCAGGGGGGCACTGGTGCTGTCTCCCTTCAGACGGACGTGTGGGCACCGTCAGCTGGGGCCTCCAGCCCAGCCCCTCCCGCTCTGGGCGGAGCCTCCGGCTCTTGGAGGCCGAGGAACTGCAGTGTGGTTCTGGGGCAGGGCGGGCCGGGGCCTGGTGGCGGCTGACGTTCTGGCCGGTCTCTGCTGGCAGGCCTGTTGTTTTTGCCTGTACCCTGCGCACTGGGTTTGTTTTTGGCAACACAGAAATGATGGAGAAATTTGGTGGGAAAGGGAAAAGTTTGCAAAACACCATTACTGAAATCGAGTGCTTTCCTTAAAAAGAAGTGCACTTGAAATTCGCAGAATTCTTGGGTAACAGCTGTGGGGGGGCAGTGAACGCCTGTGAGCGGCGCTAGGCCAGCAAAACACGTCCATGGAGACGGCTGGGCTCTCCTCCTGCCTTAGCTGCCGGCAGATGCCCTGGTTCGGGGACTGTCTCAGATCTACGGCATGGGTTCGGCAGGAATGGTTTGAGTGAAGCCAAATCGCCATTGAATTTGCTGTCAGAAAGTGAGACTTTCCCTCGTCCCGGGCCAGCCTCTGCGTGGCCTCAGGTGCTTCGGCAGATGGGTTCTTCCAGCGCCCGAGGGCACCGAGCGGGTGCCTGTCCCCCGTGACGTCCGCAGCGTGTGAGCCGAGGCCGTCTGCGGGCCCATACAGGGACCTACCATCGTGCGTTGGCAGCGGTCTTGCTGGCCCTTTGTCCCCAGCCCTTGCCCTGCAGCCCTCGCCAGGCTACCTCTGAGTCAGTCCGGAGCACCAGCCCCAGCGCGCCCGCCCGCCCGTGTGCAGGCTGCGGTCAGCTCAGTCAGCGTTCTGCCGCGGCAGCCGTGTGCTCGGGCCATGTCGGAGCCGGTATTACTTACCCTGCTGACGTCAATGGAAACATACTACCCATGCCCTTCGCTGCAGCCTGAAATGAGCCAGGGTTCAGGGCACGCGGCCACGCCGGACTTTCAGAAAACCCACCCAGGCTGACGGGGTAAAGTCCCCTGTCATTCGCCTGACACTCAGCGTCCAGGCTCTGAGAAAACACGTTGTTTTTATTTTAATTCAAGAGTGTTGGAAATGTAAAAACAGTATTTTTTCCTTGCAGAAAACTACCCCATTTAAATTAATGTTTGATACAAAGATCATTTATTAAACTGCATTTTAGGCTATTTTCTAACATTGAGTGACAGTTACATTGTTTTTTTTTTACTTTTTCACATTGAAGCTATTATGATTTGCACTCAAAATACCAAAGCTGTTAAACTCACCATTTATTCCTTAGGCATTAAAAAAAGCACACGTTAAAAATAACTACAATTAGATTTAACTTTATCAAAGTAACTCACAGACCAAACCTCCCTCAGAAACAAGTGAATCGTCCTGCCCTTCCTACAAAGTGCCATTATCTCTGTATGACTTTTATTTCTGAAACTGCAGCCCCCAAAGGAAGCCACCTCCTTTTCTGTCTGTTCATTTTCCCTTCAGAGATGTTGGTGGAGACGACTTCTCTTACATCAGTGGTGGGGAGGTGTCACCACACGAATTTCTTTGAATGAGAGTTTGGCCAGACAGGCATCACAGCCCACGGCAGGTCCCAGTTATCTGTATTTGCAAATGTGAACGTCATTCCAATCTGTGGTCATATTTCCTGGGATGCTATTATTCTATTTTTATTTTTTTTGAATTGATCTCAGAGAAGAAGGGAGAGCTAGAGAAACATCAATGATGAGAGAGAACCACTGATTGTCTGCCTCCTGCACCCACCACACTGGTGATTGAGCCTGCAACCTGGGCATGTGCTCTGACCGGGAATTGAACCATGACCTCTTGGTATACACTCAACTACTGAGCCACACTGGCCAGGCTATTTTTATTTTATTTTTAAAGCTCCCCTCTACCTATCCATTTTGCTTCTGAAAAGACAAAGTATCAAAGTACGTTATTTTCTTTAATCCTAAGTGTCTAAGCAGCACTTTTACTTGATGTAGCTTGTGGAAAGCAGTACAGCCCTCCTGGGGCCCAGGGGAGGTCAGGTTCCTGGGGCGAGTCTGCTGCCTGGCAGGGCAGGCTGCAGCTGGGCCATCTGGCCCCTTGGCAACCGAGGAAGAGGTGTCCTTCTAGTGCCTACTTCTGTGGGAAATGACCGTATGGCGTAGCTGGGAGAAACTAGGCGTCTTCAGTGTGAACCTACACGTCTGGGGTTCGTTGGCAGGGCTGGGGGGAGGTCTGAGGGGCCGCATCTCCTCGCCTTGTTCAGAGGGCCACCTGGACAAGAGCAGTGGTCACCGGAGGGCCCTCCCTCCAAGCCAGTTCGCTGTTGAATGGAGAACAGGCCGAGGGGGCGATGTCACTCACCCGGCGCTTCACCGACCCGGAGGCTTGGTACGTGGGGCTGTTTCTCATGAAGCGTCAGCTGTTACTGATGATGGGAAGGGACGTGGAACGAGCAGCCAGAGAGCCCAAGAGCTTGTCTTGGCTCCCCCACTGGCGAGCTCTGCGCCCTTGACAGCCACCCAGACTTCCGACAGCTTTGGTTTCCTGGCTGTCACAGTGAGCACTGTGCCTGTCCAGCTAATTTCAGAGAACTGTGAGCAGAGGAGATCACTGTGGAAGTGCTTGGTTAACGTGCAAACTCAGCAATGCTCCTCTGGACAGGCAAGCTGCGGACTGGGCAGGAGCGTCAGCCCCAGCGTGGCGAGGCGTGCGGGTGGCGAGGTGTGCGGGCAGCGCAGCCGCCAGTTTCTCAATCCCCGAGATCACAGGCCCGTTCTGCCCACGCGGGATGCAACCAGCTAGGGCAGTGGTCGGCAAACTGGCCCCTTGAGTGTGGCTCTTCCACAAAATACCACGTGCGGGTGCGCACGTACAGTGTGATTGAAATTTCGTGGCCCATGCCACGGGGCCAAAGAGCCGCATGTGGCTCACGAGCCGCGGTTTGCCGACCACTGAGCTAGGGTGGCTGTCAATCTGGAATCAGCAAGGCGACCCTCGTGGGGAACAAGCCCGCGAAGGGCCCTGGGGGCCGGGCTCCGGGCCGAGGCGCGTGGAGGGCCGGCCCCCGTGCACTTTGCTGCTCCCGGGGCCGCAGCTGACACAGAAAGAACTGGAAACGCGTGGCTTCCTGGGATTCGGGCCAGGGGCCCACACTGCTGGCCCCGCCAGAGGGAGGCATACGCTCAGGAAGGCAGAGGATGCTGCTCTTGTCCACACGTCACTCTGGAGCTAAGCTCTGAAAAGATTTCCAGAAGCAACAGAATGACCCAAGACGCCTGCCGATAGTGACTCCAGCCAACGAGCTGCTCCCGTTTCTACCTCTGATGTCCAGGCATGAAGAGACGGAGCAGCTGGGCTTCCCGGAGGCAGGAGGGCGGCCCAGGTGAGGGCCCCACGGTCGGCCCTGCTCAGGGATGACGCAACCGTCCCGGGACCAACGCTGCCGAGGGCGCCGCGTGCTGTCGCCAGAGGACTGTGAGGTCACCCGGAGGGCGCGTTTCCTCACCGACAGGACTTCCGCAGGACAGTGATGCCGGTTCGCAATGTGACCCGGAGCTGAGAATCCTGACCCCACACAGACCCGTGTAAGGACCTGGGCGGGACTAGGGGTCGGACGGCCCCAAAGGACCCACTCGCCTCATCATGTCCGCGTGCCTGAAGGGCCTGGCCTAACCAGAGGCGGCTCAGGCCCCCACCCACCCGGACCCTGACCACCCGGCAGGGAGGCGGCCGCTGCTCTCCTCTACCTTCCGGGCCATCCAGTCACTCTCCAGCTGAGAACACGCCCTCTTGCCCACCCAACGGCAGGCCTCTCTCCAGGAGTCCGCATTCAGGCACTGATCACCGTGTGGCCAAGGCCAGTGTGGGCTGGGCCTCCCTGCCCAGGGGTCGCCGGCCTCCACTGCCCTGGGGCCTCTGAGGTTAGGGGCTCCCAGTCCCAGGCTCCTGCCAGTCCCACTGACCAACTCAGGACCCGGCTTGCATACTCAGCTCTTCATTTCCGAGGAGGGCGGGGCCTCTCTCTTTCCTGGGAGGCGGCTGGTTCAGAAAGAAGGGGTTCTGTTCACATAAGAGCTGACAGACCCTCCAGTCCTCCTTTCCTAGCTCCTCTCCTGGGCCCCGGGGCTTCTCATGAAGATACTAAGGGCGGCTGGTGAGGGGACCCTCTGGCCCTGTGCCCAGGCAGCAAGAGGGCAAGGCAGGCCTGGGAGGGCCGAGGTGGCACCGTGGGACACGCTCTATGCCCTTGCTGAGCCCAGCATGTCAGCGGCATGGACAAACTAAAGACGTTCTTGCCAACTGGAAATTGCAGAATTAGTGACTAATTCCCGAAATAGAGACTAACCCTGGATTAAAAAAAAGGACAAAAAAAAAATAAAGTACCACACATATTGCACTGTTTGCTGAATGAAATTTTTACCTCGTGTTCATCTCCCCCAGGTCTCTTCAGAGGAGCCTGGTTCACACGCTAACAAAGCCAACGATGCCCATACAATGGCCGGAGCCCCGTCAGCGGGCAGCAGCGAGGAGCCGTCCCAGCGCCACGTAGTGTCTGTGCGGGGAGCACCGAGGGGGCAGGGCTGGGAAACGCCGACTGCTGCAGACCGTCTCCCCACCAGCCTGTGTCAGTGAAGACAGAGGGTCATGGGGCTGATTTCTGCTTGAAATACACAAGAAAAGGAAAAGCGAACAGGAGCTCACACCCCTGGCCCAGAGGCCAGCTCAGGCCACTGCACCAGATGGGGGCCTGTCCCCGACGGCCTGGCCACCGCTGGGTGCTGGCTGAGGTCTGTCTCTGGGTCCCTCGGCTTCCAACAGCCTCTCTGTTGCACCCTCCCCCCGGCCCCGTCGGCCTGACTGCCTGGCACAGCCGGGGTGTCCTGGCTAACGGGCTCCTGGCCTTGCTGCCCGCCTGTGACCGCACCCCTCCCGTGACCACGCCTCTCCCGTGACTGCGCCTCTCCTGTGACTGAAACGAGCAGCCCCCACTGCTTGTTCCAGTTCAGTATGGAAGGATTTAAGGTTCATAAATATTACAGCACTTCGATAATAATTTTGGGAAAACATCCTTCAGTCTAAAATTAAGCCCTGTTTTATAACTGGCATATTCTGCAAAGACTTAAAACAGATTAGAAGCCTTAACAGAAGGATCTCTGAAATGAAATATTTCACGACGTCATCAATCTTAAGCACGAGGGGCAAACCATCCCCGAGGAACAGAAGGCGTCCTCCTGCTTTCACTGTGCTCCTCACAGACATAACCGCCCGCCCTCCCTGCAGCCGCCCTTGCTGACCAGGTCCTGCCCACGCCCAGGGCCCCACGCAGTGTCCAGGACCCAGGGGGAGCCGGGAACAAGGCTGCTCAAGTTACCAGCCCGCGAGGGGCTGGGCAGGTGGGGGCAGAACAGGACTCAGACCCTCCGGCTCCTCCTCACCCGCCCGGGACACACACTACGAAGAGGAAAGGTGTCCTGGACGCACGGACGCAGCTGTGTGGTGGCTCCGCTCGTGCTGTAAGGAAGCTGTGCCTAGTGCATTCGCCTGCTGACAGGAGAGCAGGGAGCCTCTAACTAACACTGAGCTTGTAATGCATGGCTGTGACCGTCCCAATGACAGGTGACTCGGTACAGTTAACGGGCTGTAGCATCTATTTCTTACTTATTTTGATGAATGAACTGCAAGGGTTAAGTTTTGTTAGTAATACAGTGACTTTGGCAGATGATTTGCTTCCGTGGCTGACACATCTGTGGTTTTGAATATTGCTGTAATACTCTAACATTTCATTACAAGTCAAACTTTAAGGAAATGAAGAATGCGATTCCCACACAGTGGAAAACAAACTGAAGTGACTTTGGATTTAGCATTGACATGAATGGAAACTTGGTTTCTACAGAAAAGAAATAATTAAAGCGTGATCCGGGAAAAGGCACGGACTACCACTTCACATGGGAGAGAGAAGTTCATTCTTCTTGTTCTTAAAATGTCTAAGTCCTCTATGAAACTGTCCGGATATACAAAGCTCAGTAAACTACTAGCAACAATAATATAGTGTGAAGTCAAAGTAGTTACTACATTTGAAGAGACACCACGTCCCGTCCCCTAAAGGCTGACTGTCCGACCGGAAGTCCCCACAGATCTGTGGGAAGCCCCCGCCTTCCTGGCCCAGGGCTCTGCGCCGATGGCTCCTCGAGATCCTCGGCCCAGCCCCCTGTGGTGGGTCCTGTGGGTTCTCCAGGCGACATCTCCGGAGCCCCGAGCCCTCTGCGTCTGTGACCCATGGCGCCTTCTGAAGAGGCGATGCTGCTCCGGGAGACGCTGCCGTAGGGCTTAGGACCAGCTGGCAGTGGCCCCTGGAACAGCTCACGCTCGATGCTCGGCGATGGTCTTGGGGACAACGTGCATCAGCAGCTCAGAACTTATGCTTCGGCGACAAAGCATAGCCTTCCCTTACGTCCTGTGCATCACATTCATTATGTATCTTGCTGTGCCTTTAAGCATGTTGCTCCTGGTGTCAGTGAAAAATACGGCCTCTTCCCCCCACATCTCCCTGCGTTCACCAGTCTCCTTTGATCATGGTGTAGTTCTGTATAAAACCGAGGTCTGGGTGTCTTATAAAACGTTTGTCGGCGTCTCCGTGAGAGCTTGCTCCACCTGGCACAGCTGTGTGCCAGCGTGGGCCACCGGGAGCCGGGAGGGACTGAGCCGGGAGGGAGCGACAGCCACCTGGCCAGGCCTCCGATTCCAGTTGGGCAAGTTGGTTCTCCCCTTTCGGGAGAGGACAGAAAATAAGCTTTAAATGTAAAAGGCTGAAATAGAAGTAAAAACACACGTGCTTCCTACGCTGGACCTGTCCCGCTTCCGGGCCGGGCTAGTTCACCAGGACGTAGCCGCTGTGCTGCGGGTCCACGGCCTCCAGCATCTCACAATCAAAGAGCCCAGGGAACTCAGGGAGGGCGAGCGGGTCGTAGCTGGAGGGGTCCTCCTGCAGCCCCGAGCTCCTGGGACAGTCTGGCGCTGCCACGCCGCCCTGCTGGGCTCCGTCCAGGGGGTACTGATGGGGAGTGGGGTATTCTGGCTCAGGGGAGACGGTGCCTGGCAGCTCGCAAGTCTGATAGGAGAACTGTAAGGTTGCTGGGGCAGCTCCCGACTGCTGTGGTGGTGGCGGCGGCGGTGGCGGAGGAGGCGGTGGCGGCTGCTGCAGGTGCGCCTGAGGGCCGGGCGAGGAGGGCAGGGGCCGCAGCGGCATCTCGGGGTACTGGCCGAGGAAGGGGCTGTACTGCATTTGCTCAGAGGCCGCCAGGACCGGGCTCAGGGGCTGCGTCAGGCTGAAGGGTGGAGGCTGTTGTGGTGGCGATGGTGCCTCCTGGTGGGGTTGTGGGTATGAGCTCTCTGCTATCTGCATCTGGTTAAAGTATGCCTGCAGCTGAGACTGCTTCTGGAGGAAGAGTCGCTTCTGCTGGAGTCTACATTGGCAAAACCAAAAGAAAGCATGTTAAATCTCCCTCAGTGATAGCAACTTTAACGTAAAGCAGTGTCCGTCACCAGCCTCAGCCACTCACTTCTCTTTCTGTGGCAGAAAAAGAAGTGGGGGGTAGGAGCAAATAGTGTTACTTTTCTTCAACCTAATCTCACTTTTTGTCCCCCAATTCCGACTGGCCTCAGTGTGACAGTAAACGCGAATGCATTTTCTCTGAGGCGCTGAAGTTTTTCTCCCTATGAAGCCAGAGGCTGATTTCCCAGCTGCAGTGTCCAAGGGGCGGAGGTGACCCCTGGCCTCCCTGGGGCCTTTGGTTGATGGGGCAGGGCCATGCGCCTTGGCCACGCTGCTCCTGCTTGTGCGGCCAGGCGGCAGGAATTGCCACAAGGGAGGCTGTGAGATGAAAAGGAAAACAGCACATCTAGGGCTGCTCTTCCCTGACAGGCGCACAGCCGCGTTAGCCGTCATGTCTTGGACACTGGCTCATGCATCAAAACCTATTTTCCATCCTGGCCAGGTGGCTCGGTTGGCGCATCACCAAAAGGTGGCGGGTTTGATTCCCAGTCAGGGCACTTCCAGGAGGCAACTGATTGATGTTTCTCTCTCTCTCTCTCTCTCCATCTACCTCTCTAAAAACATATCCTTGAGGATTAAAAAATAATTTAAAAACCTATTTTCCTAGTAGAGGCAACACCAGGGTGAATGGATACACCCAGCAATCTTTTTTTTCTTTCTTTAACTGATTTCAGTGAGGAAGGGAGAGGGAGAGGGAGAGAGAGAAACATCAATGATGGGAGAGAATCACTGATCAGCTGCTTTCTGCAAGCCCCCACTGGGGATTGAGCTTGCAACCCAGGCATGTGCCCTGACCAGGAATCGAACCACTGAGCCATACCGGCCAGGGCCCAGCATTCTTAAGTCTTCCACCAAAGAAAGTGACTTCTTTGGCCAAAGGAGCTCTCTCACCTGTGTTCCTGCAGCTGCTGTTCAAGGCTCCGTGGTGGCTCCTTACAATACAGCTGACAGGTGTTCTGGGCTTTTGACAGAAGGCTGGGCTTCTGGAAGAGCAGAAAACAACCCAAGCATGACAATGTGTTGCCATCTAGGGCACGGTCATCAGACTGGGCCGCTGCCTGGAGGAGGAGGCCAAGTGTGTCCTCCACAATCCACGCAGAGTGAAGGGACTGATGACACTTGTTCACTGGGACCCTGGGAGAGCTTTGGGGTCCACAGCTTTGGGTCAGCAGGCCTGGGCTGTCTCAGCTCTAACCTACTTCAGTTTCCATTTCTAAAAGTGCCCTGGGACTGCGAGGTTCGCGGAGAGAATAAACAATGGAAAAATGAGGCTAAATCTCGATAACAAAGGCAGCGGCACCAGCTGAATGAACAAATGATTCATCTTTTGAGGTTTTCAGGCACCAGTGTAGACGCTGATGTTTGAAATCTGCGAACGTGAGATTCCCGTTTTATCTGTTCCTCATGATGAGGCCTAACATGAGAAGCAGAGGCCGTGCTTCCCCTTCCTGCCACTGTGGTGGTCCCCCTGCCTGGGTCTGAGGACAAGCCCGCTGCCGGCACAGAGCATAACCTGAGTCTGAATGTGTTTCCAGAAACCCGAAGTGCGCTGTCAGGCCCCCTGCCTGCGAGGGATCAAGCCGCCACCCTAACCTAGTCCTGAACAAGCCGGTCCTGGCCCAGCACAGCGGGAGCAGCAGGGGCAGGCCCACCTGGAGTCTGTGCTGCAGGTACTGGGCCTCCAGGCTCTGCTGCGGGGACAGCGGTGGGTGCACGCTGGTGGCCAGCGCAGGAACGCCTTCCGGCTGCTGAACAGCTTCCTCCTGAGGAGCAAGGGCGACATGTTTTCAATTCTCCAGGAGAAATAGGCTCAAAATAAACTTACTGGATAAACAGCAATTTCTTTTGTATCTTTAGCACAAAGAATCCATTTATAATATTTAATGAAGTGATAGCACATTAAAAGTAGTAGTAGTAAGCTTCTCATTTGGGTAAAGTTTATTATTCTAAATTTTTGTGTGTGCGCCTGGGGGGAGAGGATCAGAGAGGTAATTCACATACAATCTGCCCCGTGAACCAGACACAGCTTGAGGTGCCAAGGCCTCCATGGGGCCCTGATCACCTGGCCAACGTGGACAGGCATCACCTGTCAGCAGCAGGTGGCAGCAGCAGGAAAAGTTTTGCAAAAGAACCTGTTTGCTCCAGGACTGGAGTGAGTCCTCCCAATGAAGCGACACACCTTCAAGGACACACTCACTCCTCGCACTCGCCAAGCCACTGTGGAAAGGGCCGGAGCACTCACCTGAGGGCGGCTGCCAGCCAGGTCCTGGAGCTGAGGAGCAGCTGACGCCAGGCTGGGGTCGGCCTCTGGCCCCAATTGTTCATACAGCAGCTGCACTTTGTTCAGCTCTAGGATTCCTTTGGTTCTAGCCAGATTCTGAAGATGTTGTCTAAATGCTACAATGCCTGGAAGAAAGGGCAAGACCAAACAGTTTAAATAAAACACAGGCCTCTCAGTGACTACAGGTATGATACCAATATGGCCACAACCCCCTTCAAATCCTACCAGCTGAGAGCTTGAGAAGGCAGGAGGGGAGCGGCAGTTACCTTGGGTGAGGGAGGTGTCTGAGGCCCTGCGGCCCTCCCTGAAGCTCACGGGCGACCTGTTGTGGGCCTCTCTTCTCTGGGCGGTCAGGGCCTGCATGGCTGGATTGGCAGGTCTCAGGCTTATGAAGGGAGATGCCATGCGAGGTGAGGGCTGGTTGGCTAACATGATGTCTTTAAGGGAAGGGTTGTCCTCCAGAAAGTTCAGGTCCCTCTGAACAGAACCCATGTCATATTCAGAGTCCACACTGTCCAGGGAAGGGTTGTCACTCATGGAGAAAACTTTCCCTTTAAGAGAAAACAGAGCAGATATGAGGAATAGCAAACAGTGTCTTCTTTGAACAAAAGACACAAAGTGCAGCCAGCTTGAGTTCTCCCAGTGACAATGTCCTTAATCTCCAACCAGCACATTTTTTTCAGCACCATTTTTCATGTCAATTTAAGCTTTGAGTTTTGCGGGGAGAACACACCAGAATCTGTGCCCAGCAGATCTCTGCCACCCCAAAGTGCCAGGGTCCTGGGTAAGCCCCCGGCACTTGGTGAATTCTGGGAGTGAAGAGACAGCTCAGAGGCGACTGCCCTCAACTGCTGAATGTTGTCCACAAAGGAAAAAGCAGGCTGGTTTCCACAGGGGAAATGCTCATCACAGACTACGTCCTAGGAGCTGATTGGAGACTGGACTGTGACTGACAGCGTGCAGGCTTCACCCGCAGCTCAGTGGATGGCATACCTGAACCCGGCACCACGACCAGCTGATTGGTCACTTCGGACAGAGTGTGCCGTCTCTGCCCACCACGCGTGGACTGGAACGCGTCAAAGGCCTGGCTGGGGTCTTCCTCGGCCTCTCCCTCTGTCTCCAGCCCTTCATCAATGGAGGTCTCCATCATGCTGCTGGGCAGGGACTGGCACCCCTTCCTCGCCAGGACAGGCGGCACAGGGTCCAGCAGACAGCCATTGACCTAAACGTCAGTGCGAGAGGAAACTGTCAGTTGCTGCTCTGCTGAGACATTTGAAAAATCCACGAGGATTCGAACATGTTAGCACTGTGGCAAATCAGTAATTCAGGATGAAACTGAGTTCAGCAAACATTTTCTTTTTTTTAAGTATTTTATGACCTTGTAGGACAACCTCCCTGAATCCTTGAAATAAAGTGATGGCCTGGGTAAGTATTGTGATCCCTCATAGCTCTAACATTTGACTCAAAGTAATAGTACAGCCTGTTATTTTCAAGAAACTATTTCAAATTGGATAGTTTATTTATTTATTTTACAATATATAAATACTAAAAATGTACAGATGTGTTATTAATGACAACACGGAGGGCAAGCCAATTGCAGCACCGAGACCGGCGCCCAGTATGGCCACACCGGCACTGCCTCCCAGGTTTCTCTGAGTTATCATTACAATAAACAGTTTTTTTAGCAGTTTCCAGGTGAATAGGGGTACAGTAAGTTGATGCCTACCAGTTATTTCTTTAAAATCGGGAATGAAAAGGGGGAAGATGAGAGTTTTAAGAAATGCATGGCTCAGAGCTAACCAAAAAGAGTAGTCACCACCATTCTTCTAATTTTCAACCACAAAACATGCTGCAAGGTTCCAGACATACTTTTATGTTTATAATTTAAGTACCTAACTATCTGGGGTTAGGTCTTTAACTGGTTCTATGTGTTTGAGGAATGGAAAAAAGAATTCTTTAAAGATGGACTGATACCACAAAGAGGACTGAAAAAGATTCACTGGCAAATAGCCCAAGCCTTATGTTACAGAATAACAAGTGACTCGCAGGCCCCGGATTCCTGCAGAGGCACGGAGCCGCTGTCCTCCAGCCACACACACAGCATCCCCAGTGCCCATCCCCCAGGGGGAGCACAGCACAGCTCCCAGGCAGCTGACACGCACACCAGCTAATGGCAGCAGAAACAGCAGACAAAGGGGAGTTGTGGTTGCCTGCTCTTCTGGCTGGTAAAAGCCCCACCGAGGAGGCAATTATTTAGCTCATTACCTTAACTATCCCCCCGTGGAAATCAATCTGTTTTCTCCTATGAATAGCTGCTCAGGAACAGCCAGTCACAGACACTGAGTTGTAAGCAGCACTTTCACCTGAAATACACTGGGTAGAGCTTTTGTTTCCTTTGGAAGCAGGCTAGGCGCATGTGTGAGAGGTGACGTGGGACACGCCTGTGCCAGACACAGGAAACTTTCCTCTTATGGCAACTCGTCTGAAGGCTCTGCAAGGCCCTTTATTTGGAGCGGGAGCTTTGGGTGACTCAGATCTTTGTTTGCCTGGGGGAGGGGACAGTAATTCCATAAAAACTGCTCTGGGTCTGCGGCCATTACTTGGATAAGGTGGCCAGTGCATTTTAAAGTGAGGAGGGTCATTTAAAATGAAGAGTGTTAGATGCTTCCGTTCCAGACTAAGACCCATCTTCCCCACGGCACCAGCAAAACCTGAAATCCGGTCAGCAACTTCTATTCTGCCCTTGGCCCTTCTCCAGATCGGTTTTCATTCTTTGACTACACTTAATAGTTTTCTTGTAGGAGAGAAGAAAACTCAGTCCTCTTTGTGGCTGTTTAGAAACTTATTCATACTTCTAGGTTCCTTCACTGTCTACTAATACAATTTTCTAAGAATAGCAGAGGATGATTTAGAAATGAAAAAAGCAACAGAGAAAGAACTGTTATAAAGTAATTATCTATCTTTACACTTACAGCCCATGTCAAAATTTTATCAGATACTTCTTGTAGTATAGTCTTACAACAGCCAGAGCCTTCTGTCCTTTTTGTCCTTTATAGAGAAAAGTTACCTTTTTTGGAGTACTAAAAAACCTTTCAGTCTCTCTGAATTTGTCATTTTTCCTGTCAAATTATCTGCTTATAAACTCATCTCCTCATCTAAACTACAAGAAGAATTATGTCTTTTAGTTGGAAATGTTTGCTGAGCCCTGGCTGGTTTGGCTCACTGGATAGAGCGTCGGCCTGGGGACTGAAGGTCCTGATGTTCGATTCCAGTCAGGGGCATGTACCTTGGTTGCAGGCACATCCCTGGTGGGGGGTGTGCATGAGGCAGCTGATCGATGCTTCTCTCTCATCAATGTTTCTAACTCTCTATCCCTCTCCCTTCCTCTCTGTAAAAAAATCAATGAAATTATAAAAAAAAAACAAAGAAAATGTTTGCTGAATTCAGTTTCATCCTGGGACAGGCAGAAGACAATGTCTGTTTCTGAGATGATGTTTGATGATTGAATCAGAAGCAGCCTGGAGTCTGGCGCAGGTGTGATCATCTTCAGCTATGAGTCCACTTTCTGGAACAAGGGGTCATCATGCCGCCCTTCCCTGCCAACTTACTACCAGGACACTTGATAAAACAAGAGCCTAACTGCAGTTCTCGGATTCTGTGATCGCAATATTGGGCTGATCAACCTCGGCTGCTAGAAATACGATCTTCTGCTCTAGGAAATAATCTAGGCTAACTGTAAATTACAGGAATTCAAATAGAACATGGGTAAATGTATATTTTCCAATACATTGTTTTTGTCTTTCCTTAAAGCTCAAGCAATCACTTCACTTCTAGTAAGAGACTTCCTATGCATGTAGGAGTCAAACTCAGAGACTCTACCGCTAACTGATACCATGTGCCTGTGCTGACCACAAATACAAGATCATAGCACAGGTACACTGTTATGGATGGAATGTATGAGTCTCCCCCTAACTCTGAGTGTGGCTGAAGAGACACAAAAAAACTCTCCATACGAGCAGAGGAAAGGCCCTGGAAGAACACTGTGAGAAGGTGGTCCTCTGTAAGCCAGGAAGAGAGCCCTCACCAGAAAACAAATTGGCCGAAACCTTGATCTTGGGCTGAAAAAATACATTTCTGTCATTGAAGCCACCACCCAGGCTGTGGTATGTTGTTGCAGCAGTCTAAGTAGACCAATACACAATATTAGCCCGTTGAGTTTGGAGGCTGGGACTGTGGCTTATTGAATTTGTATCGAAGTGCCTAACAAGCTGGCACATGTTGAAAAGGTGCTATGGGGCTCAAACCTCGGCTCTATCACCTATTATCAAGTTGCTTAACTTCTATAAGTTAACTTCTATTTTCTTTTTCACTTGTAAAATGGAAGTAAAGTTGTTTGGGAAGATTAACTAAAATTATATATATATAAAATGACACAGTACCTTAGGTACTCAATATATTGTATGTATTATTTTTTTATTGACCAAAGAGAATGCTTTATAATAAAAAAACATTTTAAAGTATCAGAATGAAAGGAAATTTTCTTTTAAAGCCTTTTTACCATCTTGAGGCAAGTTAAAATAAACAACCAGGTGAGGAAGAGAAGAACTGGAAAGCTGAGTACTAGGAATGTCTCTGAAGGAAACACTCAGAGGCACAAAGATTTAGACACAAACATATTCCCCTGAAGCATGGAGGAGAAGGAAAAATAAGTACCCAATGTCTAAAAACAGGAGTGTGCACAGTTAAGAAAGGATCTAATACAATATATTAGGCAGTTAAATATAACTCATGATTTCAAAGATTTCATGAGATGGGAAAAATGCTCATGATGTTCTATTATGTGAAGCAAAATACAAAATCACATATCATAGAATATAATTTTTAAAAAGTCTATCTACTTACTGAGTCCCCCTACACTCACCCACCCACCCACCCACCTGTCCATCTATCTGTAACTCCCTCTCAGGAAATATACCAAAATATACTTATCTCGGGTAGTGGGATTATGGATAAGTTAATTCATTCTTTAACAGCTCTCTGGATTTTCCCTATGTGAGTTTGATTTGTTTTGTTGTTTCCAATTATGTGTTTAAAAATTCAAATTCAGATATAAAAGTGTGTTTCTTCCCTTTACCAAGCCTGAGAGATGAAAACTGTTAGGAGCTGGATGTACATCCTTCTCAGAACTTCTCTTAGGTGTTTTACTACCTCTATAATAACAGTTATTAAAAATGTAAGCAGACATGAAACATTTACTACACTGGCATTTTCAGTTTAGCCTCACAGTTCCCTTCTGCTATCCAGCTATGAAAGTGGAACTTGGAAAATCCAGTTATTATCATCTCCAATAAAATGTTCAACGAGACTGAAATGTGTATGTATAAAAAAATTCAAGATTCCCAAAGAAACCCTCAAAAAAGACTGACACAACAGGGTTTGTGCATCTGCCCTCCAGATGGTCTCTTTGTCACCTGGGTTTCAGTTAGTGCTCAGAGTTGGGTGACTGTCTCAGAAGGATGCCATTTTCTGGAGGAGCCCCAAACCAACATTTCAACATGAACTCCCTAAAGGACTTCACTGACAGTTTTAAGGTGAGGACTTTTAGGAGGGAAGGAGTGAAAGCTCTGAGATGCACAGAACCTGCCACTACCTGAGATGTAAAGGGGTGAGCAATACATGCAGTTACGAAGCATCTTCTAGAAGACAACCAACAGGTGTTACGTAGTCAATGAGGATGAAGCCATAGGACCCACATGGGAACTGGATGTCTGCCTGCTAGTTTGGGATGTGTGGGCATTTACTGATAGGCCCCAAGGAAAGTACTAGGGAGGAAAAGGCATGAGCATTTAAAAAAATACGTATTTTTTTTATTGATTTCAGAGAGAGAGGGAGGGAGGGAGGGAGAGAGAGAGGGGGGAGAGAGAGAGAGAGAGAGAGAGAGAGAGAGAGAGAGACATCATCGATGAGAGAGAATCATTGATTGGCTGCCTCCTGCATGCCCCACAATGGGGACCGAGCCTACAACCCAGGCATGTGCCCTGATTGGGAAGTGAACCATGACCTCCTGGTTCATAGGTCAATGCTCAACCACTGGGCCACGCTGGCCAGGCCGGCACGAGCATTTTTGCTGACATAAACAAAATGGTCCACAAGTAAGACAGTGTATCTCTGCGGGCTGGCTGCGTGCCAAGGTGCTCTGCCAGTGTGGGTGGCCAGTTCTAG